AATTCTTGGAAATTGTCAAAAATTCTTGGAAATTCAGATAGTGCCACCTCTTTGCAGCTCATGTTCTCCTGATACTTTGCCAGTTTTCGAGATTTCCTATTTTCGCGATTTGAAATTTGAAATTCTCAGAATTTGAATTCTTGGGATTTTGGATAGTGCCCCACCTCTTCGCTGATTATATTCGGCTGATACTTTACTAGTTTCTTGAGATTTCCGATTTTCGCGTTTTAAATTCTACGGTCGTACGATCACACGTTTTCGTACTATTTCGTACATTCCAAAACACATCGAGAAAAGTACTTCCGTCCACGAACGACAAACGAACATGTCATTGATGCACGTGCCGACGTGTGCACGCCTTGTTTGAAATTGTGAGGCGGTGAAGTGAGGTTAGAAATCTATTCATTTCCAAAATCGGGGTAATCTAACGGGTTTGAATGGACATGGAAATTGAATCTGTTAAGAGAGCTCGTCTTAAAATGAAATCGAAAGATAAATCCATGGTGCCTGCAAATAGAGATCAGGGTCAGATACAAATACGTTTTGTGACTAAGCAGCAGAAGTAAGGATTTATTTGTTTCTTTTCGTATCGTCGGATTTACAGAGTTTACATTTTCAAATTGAACAATTCTAGATACGCAGTGCCAGATTATCCCTTGTCGGTTCACAGCTCAATAGACACCGATGAATTAAACACTTTGATAAACGAGCTTCTGAGAGGTAAGAAAGCGCTTGCGATGGAAACGGTTTCTTTGACAGTAATTTCCGAGGATTAAATCTAACATGTTACAACATATGTCGAGTTTCACGGCCAATCTATTTAACGAGCAGAATAGGTCGTAGATATGTTACATAAGTAAAATTTATTTTACATTGTAATGTCGATTACTAATAGTTACAGAAATGGACGAGTTTTGACACTACTGTGTCTTTTTCAGCATATTTAACCATCGTAAGAAAGAAAATTATTATACTAACGTGTTATATCTAATATTTATGTACATGCCATGGTTTCGCAGATTATACAAATTAATTAACGAAGAAACCCTGTATCACTTTCAAGATCAAATCGATTGTTCACAGAGTCGAATGATGTCCAGGACCAAGTGGAGTTTGATTTCCTGATTTGCTCACAGTTTCTACGCAGCTCGTTGACAGATCACATTGCTGACAGGGGAGTCTCTACGGAGGAGGTGATAGATGTGGAATACGTGGAGAAGCATCCTTCACCAGAGCCAAAGGATTGTCTGATACACGATGATTGGGTGTCTGCTGTCGCTGTTTGTGGAAAATGGTTTCTAACAATTACGAAAATTCAAAATTCGCTTGGCGTCTGAAGCGTGACTGTATTGTAATAACGCCTGGAATAATTCTGTTTAGGATCCTGACTGGTTCTTACGACAATATGTTACATATTTGGACATTGAAAGGCAAACATCAACTTGTAATCCCTGGACATATATGTCCCGTCAGAGCAGTGGCCTGGATATCTCTCAGCGACGACAATGCTTCCTTTGTTAGGTGATTTATTGGAAAACTATCACTTTTATGCCATTTGTATATCGACTGATCTTTTCTGCAATTTCTGGTCTTTCTACTTAACATTTAGTCTGGAACAGAATAAGTGTTTAAGCAGAAAAGACGGAAATTGCGAAAAAATCGAGGTATGACCTTGCAAAAGAGATCAGTCGATATGTACGAATTTCTTGCTCACCTGTATTAGAACTAGTAAATTATTCAAATCAATATGTGAATACATTTTTATAATACGAAAGTGGACTTTCGAGCATGTCACAGTAAAGGATGCGTATTAACGATAATTTTACATTTATGTGCATGTATAGCGCATCGATGGATAACACATGCATGATATGGAGTTGGGATATAACGAGGAATTCCGTGGAATGCATACATATCTGCAAGGGACACAGAAGAAGCATTGAAGCAGTTAGTGTTAACTATGACAAAACATTAATGGCAACTGGTGCCTGGGATAATATGTTGTATATATGGTCAACATGTAAGTGATATAAGAAATTAACCTTTAGTCTTGATACATGTTATTGAAAGATTTAAATTACTCAGTATCTTTTATAACTTTGTAACATAATTTTCTTCTTTTAAAAATATGGGTTTGAACTACGAATACAGATATAATTTGGCAATAGTGAAATGTTAATTGTTAAGATAGACTTTACTTGTTTTCTTAAGCTTCGCAAGAAGGGGACAATGATGGAGAATCCGCGTCGAAAAGGGCAAGATCGGAATACGCCAGTAAAACGAAGGTACGTAGATTGGTAGATATTATAATTGATATTAAAAAATTTATGAAGAAGAATCCTCTGCTGATCGTTGTACTTGTTTTACACGCAGACGCCAAAATGTGCGATGAAGGGACATAAGCAGGCGATCAGCGGGATCGTGTGGTCCGACAAAACGGAGATTATCACAGGCTCGTGGGATCATACCATAAAGGTTTGGGACACCGAATTAAATGGTATCAAACAGGAAATCCACGGCGACAAGTGTTTCTTCGATATTGATTACTCGCCACTGTCACGTGTTGTGATTACGGGATCGGCCGATCAACATGTGAGACTGTATGATCCAAGATCTACAGGTACTTGAAAGACCTCTCGTCGGTTTTCTAATTTTTTAATCTTTTTTTTCACAAAATTAGGATTACAAATTCAATTTTAATGATAACATTGAATGTTAAATATTAGATTACAAAAATTCATGTTCAAATTTACAATTTCTCTAACTTTTGACTAAATTGAGGTACACCAAGAGAATCAAACTTGATTTATTTACGATTGTATGTTTCAGAAGGTGCAATTGTGAAAGCTAAGTTCACCTCTCATACACAATGGGTGGCGTCAGTACGTTGGTCGTCCGTTGATGAACATCTCTTCGTTTCGGGAGCATACGATAATATCGTCAAACTCTGGGACACCAGAAGGTTGTTTGGAAGTTAAAATATCGATCTGGAAAATCCTCTCAAATGCTACGTTAAAAGAACACGGGGTTTTTTTGCAAACTTTTATTTAGCTGCGCGGTCGATTTAACTTCAAGAATTGTTCTGGAAAGCTAGAACCGACACCTTAATATTAAATTATAGATTCTTTACTCGATAAAATTATCTTCAAAATTAAAATTGTCCAGATCGGATTCAGATTTATTTATTGCAATAAATTGAAAATCGGCCAAGTGGTAGCGTTATCCGAGATTTATGCAAAATTTATCTTTGCCTTTCAGCCCCAAGGCAGCGCTGTTCGATCTCCTGGGACACGAAGACAAAGTCCTCAGCTGCGACTGGTCGAATCCTAAGCTGATAATGTCCGGTGGTGCGGATAACACACTAAGGATATTTAAATCCAACCACGTAGAGCACTAATTACAAACGTGGTACGATAGAACTTATTACAAAGCATCGCACATAATCGAAACGATCGGAATTCCTCCTGTTTCATAATATGTGCTTAAACTTGTAATATTAATTATTGATTTTTTAAACTAGAAAATTAATAATACTAGATTATTAAAATGTTTCAATCTCTTTTTGTATAATGACCATGTAATTTTTATCGTGAGGATTTTTTTCTTTGTGTGTTGAATATACGCTTTTTATATCGATCTTTGGAAAGCACGTAGTTACGAGTCCACCGAGAAATCGATTATATATTCAATCACATAATATCGTACGTAAAGAATATAAAGGCTTGATCGATGGTACGACTCGATCTCTTGTAATAATGCAAAAAGAAAATAAAAGCAAAATGCTAATAAGAAATCTGTTAACATAAACTGCTTCTTTGTTCCTGGACCATCAGCCGCTCTCTTCTTTTCTCTCTTCCCGCGGCTTTCTTCGAGGAGAACCGTGCCAGATGGGTGAAGTAAGAGTCGTGTCGGTCGGCATAAATCCCCAAAAACAGATCGTTTATTGATCAAAAATAAGGGATGATAATCGTGACGAATCCGGGAACTCGCTTTTCCCGCGCATCGCGAATTATTTAATTATTTACCAAACCGTTTCTTCATTACTCGTAAGTAACTCTAAAAAGACCACCGATTCAAGTGCACGCCCCTATAATAGAGACACACATAGGGTGTTACGCGGTAATAATACAGGAGCAGCGGAGAGCGTGCATCCTCTCCGCAATAGCGCACGCACATTTTTTTTCCCTCGTTTTCTTTCTGTACAAGTGTGTTACGTCTGTATGTATGTGATGTGTGAGTGTGTGTATGTATTCCTTGTAAGCGTGTGCTGTGTGTAAAATAGGCAGATGACGGTTCTTCGAGAGTACGCGTTATCTTCTTTTCTTCTTCGAAGTTACGCACACACCTACGTACACACATGCGCACACTCTCTCTCTTCCTCTCGCTCGTACACTCTCGTCGGCCCCTCTCTTTCGCTCTCTCTCTCATCGCACGATTGTTTTTTAATTCTTTTTCCTTTTTTTATTCTTTTTTTCATTTGTTTGCTTGTTTATTCTTCGAAGAGACCCTATCTAAAAAAACCCCCACATTACTATCTTTCTCTCGTTCTCTCTCGCTCTCTCTCACACACAAAGACTAGCGTTTTTTTTAAACGATCCAAAATAAACTAAGGGCACTTTTTAGTGGCTTATGCCCCTTGTGTCGTCGACGTCGCGTGTGTTACGTTCCTTTTTTTTCTTTACGTTCCTCTTATCTCGAGCGTTTTTCATTCTTTTTTTTGTAATTTTTTAAATTTACTTTATTCATGAAAAATCTAATTCTGACTTGTTTCTTGTGTTAAACTTTGTTTTATTACAGCACCTATTCGACTTCCTAAGAGTCTCCCTAGATCTCTTAACTAACTATGACACAACTTGCCTTAACGTCTAAAGATTTTTTTTTCTCACATTACATGCTAAACGCCTTCTTTTCGCCTCTGTCTTAAAAGTACTCTCGAAATTCTACAAATTGATCCTCGCGCGCGGATTTAAAAAGAGACCTCAGCATCCGACGACATCGTTCCCCCTTTTACCTTCTGCTCTTTTCTCTCTTTTTTTTTCTCTCGTTGATCTTGGAAAGATGAGCGGTACGCACGGGGTACGTGTCTCTCGTTCCGTCGTAGAATTACATTACAAGTTCCGCTTCCTTCGCCGTCGGGTTCGTACGCCGTCGAACACGAAGGACGAGCGGAGTACAAATGCAAAAAAGAAAGAAGGGACGGGGGCACGGAGATACATCGGGGGAGGAAGAGAAGGATGTGTGGAGGAAGAAACCCAAGATGTCTCGAGTAATTACAGCTAAGTCGCTTAACAAACACGTGTAAAACAATGACTTAAAAACTTGGAAAGCTAAGGACTGTACAAGCCGAAGTACAAGACGATGATCTAGTCACCTCGGACCTCGTTTTATCGCTAACTCACTCTCTGCCTATCTCTCTCTTTCTCACACACACATACGCAAGTACACGTATTCGCGTTCACTCTCTTAAGCCGATCTCGACTAACATTATTTTACTCTTAAAAACATCCTATATTTTTTTTCGTCTCGCTTCTCGCTCAATCAGTTTCTCGCTCCCTCTAGTCTCCCTTTCTACAATCAGCCTATCAACTACGGTACGCCTAGTCTAAAGAGTGTCTACGCGAAAAACTCTAGAGAAAGCTTTACGGAAAGCAGCATTGTCCGCAGCGGCAAGAACCGTTTTCCTGCCCGAGAAATTGTTGGCGGCCGGGCTGCGGAAGCCCGAGAGCTTGCGCGGCGAGAGGTTCGCGTTAGAGGCAAAGAATCGCATAGGAAACAAAAATTCGTATGATTTCTCGCGTCTGACGCCCACGTGATCCAACGTGGGGAAGAGGGGGACGCCCCTCCGAGCGACCGGAGTCGGGGGGAATCGTTTCCGTGCGCTTCCGGTCCTCGGATCGGGGAGGGGGGTAACTCTGCCGCGGAAACCCCACAAACCCCCGCACCCTATCGAGTTCAAGAGCCCACGTCCGGCCAGCCCACGCACCCGACCCGCGGTGCGCAGCAAGCAAATAGTTCCTTACTATTTATACAATTATACAAGTAGTTCATGTATATATACATACATACATGTACACACATATATCTATATATATATAGAGAACTACTACTGTGTAGAATATATATATCTATATATATATTTATCAATTAATATGAATAGCCAGTCAGTCTTGACGGGTGCGAGGTGCATAGGCTGAACGGTGCCCCACGCCCGTGCCCCCCGTGCCCGCGACAACACACAGAGGGAGGATAGGGGACACGGAGGATGAGAGGCATATTCGTATCCTAACTACTATGTAACTAAACTATTGTTCTACCTAACTACGTCTATTTATAAACTTAGCCGCTTCTTAATCCGATAAAAGATCGCCCCTTTCCTATTATCTCCTAATCCGAGCGAGTGCTCGCTCACTCGTCTCGCTTAGCCTACGGTTTTTTTTTTAATCATCAAGTTCAACTCTACCTATGCGAAAAACATGTCGCCGCAAGAAAAAAAAGGCGCGTCTCCGCGCGTTCTCTGTACATAATAACTATACTCTCGCTCGCGATCGCTCTTTCTCTCCTTTTCTCCCTATCTCTCTCTCTCTCTCTCTCTCTGTTCCGGCTACCCTTCTTTTCCGGATTCACTCTCGTGGAATCTCTTTGCCCATGTCCGGGGATGCTGGACAGATTGCGTCTTCATCCCCTTCTTCGTCCCCTGAACCAGTCGGCGCAACTATTACTGCTGCTCTGTTTACTAGCTTTTTCTCCCTCTTCCCTCTTCTTCGTTTGGTCAGTCACGATAATTACTTTAGTTACTTTTTTTTAGTGTATACAAGTCTCTATTTAGTAAAATTCTCAAAATTTACTATTAAAATCACATGTGGATTTTTTTGTCAGTCAAGTGGTGACAATCTCGCCTTGTGTAACAAATACACAATATGCACTCGCTAATAAGTGCTCCTCTTTCTCTCTTTCTCGCGCTTTCCTCTCAACTTTCCGTCATTCACTCACTTTCTCTCTCACGCTCTCTTTTGCACACAATCTCTTTCGCACTCAGTCACTCTTCCTTTCACTCTTACCCCCTGCGTTCCTTTTTTTTACTTTTTACCTTAATGCGTGGACTCAAATCGAGTAATAAAGTCTGTCTCTTAAAAAATAGCTCGTATTCCGCTTTTCTACCTCTTCGTCCTCGGCCTTTTTCTTTTTTTTCGTCAATTTATCTCTCTCGTTCTCTCTATTTCTCACTCTCACTCTCTCGTCATCGTGATGTACCAAAATAAACTAAATATATTATTTACTTCAAGTCTCAACAGTGTAAAAATCTTTCATACGTTTAGATGACGTCAATAATAGTAAATCGTTAATTATAATAATACAGCGTCATTATTGTAATATTATAATAATAACTACGCGACTCGTCTCTCTCTCTCTCTCTCTCTCTCTCTCTCTCTTTCGTTCTCTCTCGCTTTCTCACTTCGCTAAAATTCTATCTAACTATCTGCTCGCTGCCGTTTCTTCTTCTGTATTAGTTTTTCGTATGTCGCGCGAGTAGTCTGCAGTTTTCGCGTATTTTTGGTAAAAAGCTTTCTTACACTCTCTCCCTCTCTATCGCTCCCTCGCTCGATTCTCAACTATCAATCCTAATTCGGACAACGCGAAACTCCGACGAATGCACGAATAATGACGATAATGGCAATGATGATAGTGATAGTGATGGTGGTAGATATGGGAGGAGAGACATCCAGAAGAAGGGGAAGAGATGGAGATCTCGTTGGGCGCAGGTTGTAACGTGAAGAATAATCAAGATTCAAACGGGGCTCAACACGAAGGTATTTTAATGAATTCAAGTAATATAAGCGTTTACTTTTGCAAATTTCCAAATCCTTGAGAAAATATACTCATCTCGGTAAATACAATTATCTGCGCGGTCGCAAAGACGCTCAGGAAGCTCAATCTTCCTCGATCGAAATTTCCGTTTGATCGTTCACACGAATACTTATTTTATTTACAGCCACCAATTCTCGAAAGATGACAGAGCGTCGTCTCGATTACTCTCCCCTCGATCTGTCTGTACGCGCGTGTATTTGTATATGCGTGTATACGTATACATGTGTACGGTGTAGATCGATGAATCTTTGCGTTTTTACCTTCCGCTTATCCTCTCTCGACAGTATATATAACGCGTTTCTTCGATAAAATAAATTAATTTACATTCTAATTTCTCATCTTGTAACAAATCTACTTTTCTTCGTTTTTTTTCTAATCTCTCTCTTTTTCTCTATTTCAGACACATTTTCAATCATCCTTCCTCTCTCTCTCTCTCTCTCCCTTGCTCTCTCTCTCACTCTTTCTTTCGTTATCTCGCATTCGGTTTCTCGGCTTGTCGCAATTTGATTTTTCAAGATTTTCTTTTTTCTTTTTATCATATATTATACGGACTGCCTTTGTGCTGTGTGTGAATGTCTATTTTGTGTTTTTCTTACAGTCCGACAATTCCAATTCGATAATGCATGTTATCACGCGTACAAAATCTATCAAATTGACAACGAAAACAAATGTATAGAGATATTTAACACAAAAACAATTACAGATATATTAATTAGAAAATTAAGATTCGACTTCGCATCTGAATTTAACGATGCGTAAAAATATATTATAACAATTTTCTCCTGCATATAATATATATATATATCTCTCTCTATATCTTTCTCACTTTATTTCTTCCATTTAACGGATCCGTGTGAAAAGGCACAATTCTAAAAAAAATATCTGTATTCACTGTACAATTAAAAAGTGATATCGATCCGTATTTAACTCGCAATCATCGTAAATATAACACTCTAAAAAGCACTGTTCCATTTTTTTTCTTTCCGCCCTTCGTACAATAACTGTACGTAGATCCTGAATATTGCATTCCTCCCCTTGCTCGTTTTAGAAATAAATTTCATTATCGTATTTTTCTGGTTTGTCTCTGAAATTTAAATTATAATAAAATTTCATTGTCGTTATAAAAAAAAGAAACAAGGAAACGCAACGCGTTAGAAACGAGCGGTGCCGCTAGAAAAGTTGGTGTATTCCCAAATTTAAAATACCTCCGTGCAACGGCGCGCGCACGTACCCGGTGTGGAATGTTTCTGAATGTAAAAGCGGAAAGTGAAAAGAGGAAAAAAGAACTCGAAAAGACGTGTGTACTCCGATGAGGGTGCGGTGGTAAATGTGTGTATTGTGTATGGCTCGTGTAACCTGCACGCGAGAGAACGGATGAGGTGAGGTGCGCTATCGCGGAAGATGAATTGTGTTAAAGTACTCTCTTTCAACCGCAGACATGCATCTTTGCGAGTTTCGCGAACGAACACCTCCTCCCTTTAGTCGTAATTACGATTTTCTGAATTTCCCTTCTCAATATTACATCGTCCTGGAAATAACGTATCCTCTCTCTCCTCTCTCACACAATTTATCTTTCTCTCTCACTCGCACTTTCTTCTCTTTCTCTTTTTTTTTGCTGTATATTATTATTATTTACTATTATTTCCTCGGGAAGAATTCTCCTTTGTATATTTCTGAGCAGTATTTCTTTTTCATCTCCTTTCGTTCTTTATAGTTAACACATCCACACACATATTCTCCTTCTTTCGCTCTCTCTCTTTCAATCACGCATTAAAATACTTATCCATACTGTCGAGCTCTCGAGATTAGCTTCGATTAGCTTCTGTCATCTGTCCGTAGTAAACATAATACCTAAAGTTACATCATGGAAGCCTATTAGCTTGACACTAAACTGTTCTTCGTAAATAACTTGGTTTTTTTTTCGTTACTGTCGTGTATCGTGTCTTTCTCTCCCTCTCTCTCTCTCTGTGTACGTGTGTATATGAAAGTGTACGTGTTGTACGTCACGTAGCTTTAACGGAGCCGTATTAGTATGGAAGCACATGTCATACCACGCGGATGACACGTGATCGCTCTCGTACTCGTCTTCCTGTACTTCCTTCAATTATATTCTCTTTCTCTCTTTCTTTCTTGCTCGCTCGCTCACTCGTTCTCTCTCGTTCTTACGCATTCTCTCAACATTCACTCTGCCTACTCGTTGCAAAATATCATCTACTTTCCTCTATTTACTGTTGGATAAAACGTATAAAAACGCTGGCAAGTCAATTTATCGTGAGGAAGAATCTTATTCGTTACGTAATGTAGTTTTGTTTCAAATCTATTCTTCTTAATGTAATCTGCTCTCGTATCTGTTGCTCTCCTTCATTCTGCGCGTATCTCCATGTGTCAATCAGTAAGCCTTTCCTAATTCATGTAACCCTTAGCGCGATCATACATCTGCAACCAAAAGATCCCTTTATTGTTCGTTTGTTGTCTATCGCAAGCTAAGTAATTTGTAGTTGTACACAGTACTGTATCGTACGGCATAAAAGAGAGAAAGAATTCTGACCTATTATAAACCGTGGCCTACTTAGGCTGTTGAGCCTGGTACTGCTGGTAGGAATCGTCGGGGGACGCTGCATTACTCGTCTGCTCCGACTCGCCCAGTGGCATGGTGTGAATAATGCTAGGGGCGGGATAAGTAGTGTACGGATAGGGATGCGGGCTCGCTATGTACTGAAACGAAAAGACGATTAGTTGTCGTTTGTCACTATCGGTTCGAATCAATTTATCCCAGCAACACAAATGTCCGAGAAAACCTAGCTTAACTTTAGTGTCTTCATCAGTTCCATTTTTAATACGCTACGTCTCAAATACTTAATTATTTATCGTCCAGACCATTAGATTTTAATCTTTCTATATCGTTGAAACAATTTAGACTTCAACCTTTGAGAAGTCTTTCGGAAATTTGTGTCATCCGGATAGCTGTTGAGAAATCGAAAGAGAACTTACGGAACCAGTGCCGAGATGCAAGGTAGACATTTGCGTTGTGAGCTGAGGAATCATACTGTACTGCGGATTACTAGGATCGGCCGACGGAATCATCTGTAACAAAGATCGACAAAGTCCAATGATGAAGAAGCGGCGATAAGTGGATGATGTTATAATGAAGAAAAAAAATATCCGAAAAATGAAAAGATTTACAATAAAGCTGACTTAAATTGAACGCGATCTTTATGTAAACCAAAAAAGTGCGCGTTCAAAGAAGGCGACTGATAATTAAATAATTTCGTAGACATACTGATATTTCAATTGAAGTCCCAAGACTGTTCCTAACAGTTGTGGAAACAAGAGAAAGTGCATTGAATTTTAAAGGAGATAATGTTATGAATGAAATATCTTATATTCGAGTTTAAACATTAGATCTATAGAGAATTTGTCGTGTCCGACGACACATGTATACAAAATTGCACTAGTTTCCCGAATCGAAACTCGATACAAAGGCATTCTCGTATATGCAAAGCAATGAAAACAAAATGAACGAAAAGTGTATAAAAACTCACGTCAACCTGTTGCATATGTGGCGGGGAAGGGTGCACAAGGTAAGGAGCCACCCAGGGGGTGCCTGGCACACTGTAACCAGGCAATGCCTGACTGTAGTGACGGCTGTACTGTGTCAGAGCCGTCGCCGGAAGCATATGGGTCGTAGCAACGCCGTTCTGACCAACGCCGCTCGTATCGTAGTTCAAAGTCATATTCTGAAAGGAAACGTCAAAGTAATGAAAATTTACGTTGGCACCTCCTCGAAATCGCAAAAGACTATAAAATATGTTTGAGATTTGTTTCTAAAATTATCTCTATAATAATTTGTATTCAAATAGCGAAGATGCACACGCACGCGCGCGTTTATAAAATACAATGCTATAAAGAATCAGAGTTTTATTGAAGCTAAAAAAGTTTCTATATACCCAATATTTGACATAATATAATCTGTGTATGTGTGTGTGCTATTTAAGAAAACATTTGAAGTAACATACGTCACACTTGTATATGTATATACGTTAATCATATTATATGTTCACATATAATATATAATTATTTATGAGAGATGACAAAAGAGTATATGTACGTACTTCTCCGGTTTCTCTCCATATTGTACTCTTAAACAACGATTTCTTTTTGTTTCCGCCATCGGCAAACTTAACTAGTAATGAATCCTTTGCGCCTGTTAGAACCTTTCCGTTGAACATTTGGATGATTTGTTCACATTTCTCCTTTGATTCCATTCTGTAATGCAGTCGTAAAAACACCGGATTACTCATAAATTATAATATGCCTTTTTAAGCCTCTACAATTACACGTGAGGAAGTTACATAAATTCGTACTTCGCCATTTGCACCGCCGATTCAAGACAGCTCTTTAATTTTGTTGTGGATCGTGTATGCACATAAAATACAAATCTAACGAGGTATAACCGTACATCCGTAAGCTGCTTTGTATTAAAATCGACTGTTTTCTAATCACACCGTGATGTAAAATGAAGTTGGAACAATATATGACGTGCTAATTCTTTTTCTTCTTTATTCCAACGAGACGAATCTCGCACAAGGCAAGTGCAGCCGCCAGGAAGCCAGTAACAATACTATCACAGATTTCGTGCGAACCTTGCGAATCCAACTCCTTTGCTCTGGCCGGAAGTGTCGCGCAGGATACGGGTAGAGATAACTTGTCCGTATTGAGCGAGTAATGCCTCGACGTCGTTCTCTTTGAAGTTTAGCGGCAGGTTGGCGATATACAGATTGGTGGGGTCCTGCTCCTGTTGCTGGGAAGAGAGTAAAAACACTATGCAATTACATATAACAGGGCGACACAGTGGATATAATGACTTCCAGACAAATCTGAAGCGGATTATCATTTTAACTTCCACGACTGTCGTTCCTATCGCCGCTCTCTCTGAGTTTGATCGATCAGAAATGGGATGCACAGGCAAGACGAGACGATATACACGCAAAGACTCGAAACCGATTCAACACGCCTGCAAAAATCTGTCCAACTATTTCTGTACCGTTTGGCTATTATACACTTTCATCGTCATCACAGACTGATGTGGAAGCTACGAATGAATGAACGGAAGAATCTTGCGACAAACGAGTATGCGGCGACCGCGCGAGTTTTCCCTCGCTTAGTCTGGTGGAACGTTAAAATGATATTCGCGAGTTTACTGAATGACGAACGAAATAATAATAACACGCGCTTACTCTCGGAACAGTAACGGAGAACGTTTCTAACGGTAACGCGGACACGTGCGAAAAAAATGAGCTCGAATGCCGTACGCGTAAAAAGTGTCTAGCCCCGTCGTAAATAGCACAACGTAAAACGGTTTCTACCAACATTGACACTACGGAGGAGACCATTAAGCAGTAATCGCCGTCTAAATTTCGAAGAAAAGAGTGCAAAAAACAGGGAACAAACGGGTACCGAAGACCGGTATCGGAACGTGGAACCGACTGGACGATTATTTAGTCTCAATGTCGGAAGGTCATCATGCTTCATGGCAATTACGTTACCACATTCTTGGTGGCTCTCTAAATTTGCTTGCTTCTAGGGATGCATTCGATTCATTTCTCTCGGCTAATGTACCTTCTACCTCTAAAAATATCGCTCGCTCTCCCGACTCTGCGTTTTTCCGCGCGCAGAGGACATGCTAACGCGGACAGGTATATTAAATTATATTCCATACACATACACATCGCCGTACACATTAACGATCCCCGCGTCAAGACTCGAAAGATCGTGTCGTTTTCTTTTTCTTTCTACGATTCTAGGATAAGAGTCTCAAGAAGTAGACACGACGGAGATAAAAGCAAGTGGGCGTGAGATAAAAATCAGATGTAAAAGTAGTCCGAACGAAATCAAAGGATCGAACAGGGAACATACAAAAAAAGTATCCAATTGTAATGACATAAAATATACAAATATGAAAAAAAAGAGAGATACACATTAGGAATTATAAAATCTCTCTACTGCGGTTATCAGCCAAAGATCTATTGAAGAAGATATTTTCTATTTAATTTACACGGGATAGTGAAACAAGTACGTCGCCTGTGCATACACTTTGTCGCATGTTTTCCCCCGTGAGACGAAATTGGACAAATTTTCCCGTGTATTGCGCACGTGAGGTGAAATTTGATACGAAACGCTCGTTTGCGCAATGATGATCGTCTCGAGTTACCGTGGCGTTGAAAATTTCGTGACGTATGTAACCGATACACACTGTAAATGTATCACAGAGCGTCCGCAAAAAAATAAAAATAAAAATACGCGGCCAAAAGTTCTACACATCGGAAGCATTGAAAAAAAAAAAGATAGTCGAGAAAAATACCTACGAATTACATATGTCTATCTTCACGTTTCTAATGTTATTTACATGTGTCGGGAATCGTCTTCGTCGTTTTTACAAATAACCATTCAAAGCGGTAATAAAGAATAGGATCAAGTAACATGTGACATTTCATTGGAAACAGAAAGAAAGAATGAGAAAGAGAGAAAGAGAGAGAGAGAGAAAGAGAAAGAGAAAAAGAGAGAGAGAGAGAGAAAGAAAGAGAGAGAGAAGCATAAGAAAGAAAAGCACAGGCATTTTTACATATACATATATATACATACATATATGTATATACAGTTATATATCATATATGAATCATGAACGAATGTGGAGAGAAAGGGAGCAACTCTTGAGTACGAGTATAGTGTCGCACAAAACACATAATATATGTTAAGTATATGGACGTACATATACATGTGTTCATGCTCCGATTTTCTGCTTATTACGAGTTCCACAGGAGAGTACAAGATAAAACAGAAGAGAAGGAGGACGAAGAGGGAAAGGGAGAAGAAAGGGAGAAGAAAGAAAGAGACGAAGAGAACGTAGAAAAAAAAGAGTAGTAACGTATGCGTGTCTGAAGACTGATGAGATATTATGCACCCTCAAGCATATTTCGAGATCCACCACTTTCGTCAACGAACCAATCAAAAAGTATTCTACGATTACTTGAGTATATACTTATACTTTACGACAATTTACTTCAATCTTGCGAATGCATTAAAACAAAAAAACGAATAATGAAAATATCATGATATATAAGCCAAGCTGATGGCATTTAAATATATATGTATATATCTATATATACATATACATAATACATACATAGGTGTACGTGCATATATATCCACGTATGCATATGTATGCGGGCTGTCGCGAAATGAGGCAGTTATTAACAAAGCGGAGCTTCATCTCTTTTCTTTTTTTTTCGAGCAAATGCACGCAGACTGCAAAGCCCGCCGACTTTTCGTTTTCACCGCCGTAAAAACCGCCGTCCATTTCGCGACATCCTGTATATATGATAAGATACAGTAGAAACTCGATTACACCGAGTAATATTTGACGGAATATCTAATCATTCGAATAGTAGAGGGAAAAAAGTGCGATTGCTCGGCCGGACGTTTCCGTGTAAAATAAAAGCGACCGACTCGGACAATCGTTGAACGTTTCTCACGCCGTTCGACTGATCGAATATTCAATTGAATGGTATTCGAATAATCGAGCTTCCACTGTATTATGTCTTAATTGTACTTTTATATTCCGATAGGACAGTTCACAGATTCGTCGAAAGTACGACCTATGCTAACGGGAACTTTTCTATAAGATTCAACAGCTTGATTTATCATTGACATTTTCTCTCTCGAACAGTTCTGTCCGTTCTATTCCGATTATTTCTTTTATTCCGTATCTACGGCTCTCGGTAATCCTCTGTAATAAACATCATTTATATTCACATGATTATATTTGCACGAATAACATTCACATTAATACGAATTACATGAGATAATCGACTCGATTAGATCCTTTTCTTTTATGTAATACAAGTAATGTTTAGTTACCGAACGTGAGGCCCCGTACTGTCTGAATCTTACGACCGGCTCCCGAATGCACTTGTCAACCTGTAGGTGTGTTGTGATTAAAGTTTCATTATACATTCGTACATATATGTAAGACAAGTGTACGTGTAAATCCGAACCAACCAACACCCCTCCCCCGAGGAAAGACAACGCCTATATCCGGGTGTAATACCGCGTAACCCTACGGGTACAGGATTAATCGAGAACACGGTACTGTATCACTTTTAGTTATATCATATCGCATGCGATCGACATCATCATCATCATTATCATTGTCACACAGCTGCTGGTCATCACACCCCGTGCTTTTTTACCACGGTCAGCTTAGAGAAACTATTTCCACTGGAGTTAGTCGTATGAGGACAAATGGTACAAACAGGCGGGGAGGCCGATACTCTCTCGTTCGGCAGTGTGTGCTTTTTCTTTACTTATGGCTGTCTCGAGCAGGAACGCGATTTAATGCAAGAGAACGTCAGACTGAAAACGACTGTCGCAGAGCAGAGTCGGGCGAAATGCAATCGAATCTTCGAGCAGCTAATCAAATCAAATCAGCATGATTACCAAAATAACGGATGCCCGCGGACTTTAATCGAATTACGCAACATTTGCATCTCTATGCAAACCGTCGTCGTCTTTGGTGAAGAAATAAACGATCACACCGCCGAACACTGCTATCGAGTCGACATTGACAAGTTCAATTTCATATTTTGGTTCGAGGTGATACTCTTTCTTTTAAACTGCTAACATTACATGGAAAACATAATGAATATATGTTGCACAATATATCGATGTTACTATGCTAGAGTTACTACTGACACGTCGTTTATGCTGCCATACTTCAATGCAATACTTTTCTTCTTCTTTTACTTTTTTTTTCCCAATTACATCAATCACCGAGTTGACGAGCAAGGTTTTAAGTCAAGTTCCAAAGGTGGTATTCATAGATGGAAATAATAGATGAAAAATTTGAATTCGTCAATACTATTATTGATATTTCTATTAAACTTTGAATTAATATTTGGATAGTCATATTTTATTAACTGATCATAGCCACTCAGCTTTCGTTTTAATCATATTGCATAACATCGATTCGCAGTAAATAAGCTTCAAGTTGTAATAAACAGAAGTTTGTTTTGACATCTGCCAAACTATTTGCCATTCTATTATGTAAATACTATTTATCATAATATATTAATATTGTAATTAATTGTACACATGAAGGTTATGGTGAAAGCAGATATCGTGAGCAGATAATGACAGCTGAAAAAATATATTAAAGGTATAATATTATCCATGTGAATAATCAACAATTCAATCTATATAAGTTATCAATTATTTGACGATACAATTTACATCAGCTACATTTCTTGAAATGAAAGAAAACTGTGAACTTGTAAAGGATTTGAAAAATAAATGACAGATAATTAGATATTTGTAAAATTATAATTCTGCCTCGAATAATGACTATGAATACGACCCTAAAGTTTATGACGAGTTATCGAATTTCCATAGAAAGGTTTCGGAATTAATGCTGAAAGTCGCAGAATGCAATTTTCATGACATGGCGATTGTAGACATAATATCGACATAGCATAGTATCGGCTGTATTTGTGGCCGAGGTATAGCAGCAAGCACCGATAAAGGTCTGGTAGGTAAGGTACGTAAGACGGAATGACAGACAAAGTATCAGAGAAAATTTCTAGATAAATGAAAGAGGCAGAGAGAAACGGAGACAGGCTTTCGATAGAAAAAACATTACAGTCCCCGGTATATAGAGGAACACCCGCAGAGAGATATCATACATTTATTAGAAATATACGCGCAATCGCTCATCGCAAAATACCAATTCTCTATTGAATTAATCATTAATGATCTACGACTGTTTCTTTCAGGGCTTTTACCGAATTTCACCTCTAGGATTATATGACCCTCGCGACATTTAGATTAGGACTTTCGAAGAAACCGATGAGGAAAAAAACACTTGATTTGTACAACAAAGGATATTTTTCCATTTATAACAAATCTTTCCGTAAAGTGAAAAACTAAATAAAATTTTACCAAGTGCAAGGGGCGATTTCGTTCACGAAAGCTTAACCTTTAGCACTTATCCTTCAGCAATAATTTATTAAGAATAAAAGTAATCAAAAATTTGAAACAATAATATAGAATACGATTGATCGAAATACGCTGTAGAATACTTGTTTCAAATGCTACGTGCTCAATGGAAGAGAAATCGATGTCGAAAAGGCGTCGTGTTTCGCACCCGGAAACAGCGTGAGAAGATCTATCGGCTCTCCGACGAAACGGCCTCGCGAATAAAACGGAGGGGGCAACGAGAAGGGGAACGAAGAAACAGATGGAGAATATAACAGAACGACAGAACGGGATAAAAAAAACGATACAGACAACGGAAAGACAGAAAGAGAGAGAGAGAGACAGAGAGAGAGACAGAGAGAGAAAGAGAAGAGTGAAAGAGAAAGAGAGAGAGGTTTACTGTTACTTTGGTATTACTCTGTACTTGCATGCACAACCACGTACACTGTCCAGTCTACGGAGCAACCAGATACCCACTTTCGCCATCTGCGCTTGGATGCCCTTGGCGACCAGTGCTTTCACAGCACCCTCTGCCGCCATCGGTGACTCGAAGTCTACAAATCCGTAACCTGCAAGACAATCAAGTCGATATAAGTTCCCGCCGACAATTTTGTCGCGCGTAAGAAAACGGAAGTGGATTATTTTGTCCATCGCGTGTATTTATCACGATTTTGTAGAAATTCGCGTAACGCTGGCTGGTGAAGTTACAAATGTATCGGAACGACGAGTTGCACCGAATTATGACTAAGAAAGTCCAGGAAGTTGGAAAATGCTGAGTAATAAAAATGCGTACCTTTACATTTGTTTGTATTTTTGTCTAAAATCGCCTTGGTGGAAGTTATAGTTCCATACCTGCAAAAATATTGAGTCTTTTGGTCCGACGTATTTGCATAAATTAATTATATAATCGCTACACTTATAGCTATATCAATTTTAACAAGTGACACTGATCACTGATACACCACCATAAATTGTTGATACAATTGTTAAGCTATATACCTATTATACCTAACAGGCTCAACGATTTATAAATTTCTACCCATAGTCCCAATGTATTGTGTATTGTGACAAATAACCAATTGACAGATAGAGTATTTGCTTGGCGAGCAAGAGATCCGGGTTCCATTCCCGGAATGTCACGTGGCATGTATGTGAGCATTTTACACCGAGAAGATTTCGAGCGAGAGTTTCGTCTCGGAGCGCGCCACGTAAGCGCGTGGAGAGAATTCGTGACGTTTGTACAATTTATCACGAGCCGGGTCCTAACGGCCACGTGTACAACGTTACTTACTGAGAACACATATTAACGAGGTCTTTGTCAGTCGTATTCTGGTTGAGGCCACGGATGTATAGATTCGTTTTGGACAGCTGCTCCGCTTGTTGACCCTGCATAGCGTTGTTGCTGAGATTCGTGCTCATCGTCCCGCTTTGGCTGCCGGTGGCACTACTGGAGCTGCTGTTAGTGTTCGCCGGGGATGAAGCTGTAGGCACCCGTTGTCCACCGTACTGCAAGCATCAATACTGCGCGATAACTGAAGATGTTCGAAAAGAGCCAAGGGCGATTGATTTTATGCGGAGGGTGCCGCTTTTACCGGATCGACCATCGACCGACTCGTGTTACAACTAAGTCACGTATCTTTCCGTGAAGTTAGCATCCCGCTTTAACTGTCGCGATCGATAGCTACACGCGACAAAAATATGAAGTTGGCCCGCTACATTCTCTCCATTCTCATTCATCAATACTCTCCGATCATTAGGAAACGTGGCGGCAAATTTTCAACATTTCTCTTTACTCTACATTACTCACGTGGGATAAGATACACCTCGGCCTTAGAAATCTACTACATTTACAGAGCAAAGGTTTCTTATCGATTTAATTGTCGAACAATCACAGAGAGGAATTCTTGCCCCTATCTTTATCCGAAGTAAAGATACTCCACGCGACTAAGTGTACATTGAACGAAAACGTAGGGAGAATTGTTGAAAATAAAAGTGGCCCGACTTCTCACGTTAAAAGGACAGCACCGAAGACGTGCTCTCCTCCTCGGCCCTCGTTTGCGGCGCAATTTGTAAATAAATATCGCACGTAAAGCCATTAAACGCTTATCAAAGTGACCTATCTTCTCGTTCCGGCTGTCGGCAGGGGGGCATCGCGCTCGTTCCCGCAGTGTTTACCGTGACGCGGGGCAAAGTCGAGGGGGGGGCAGACTCTACCGCGATCGGAGGTCAAGAAAGCACGCCGGCGAGTGCGACTTACCGACGTGTGCTGCGCGTACGTGGCGGTGACGAAGGGATTGGCGGATGCCGGGAGCTGCTGAGGACCGCCGCCGACCGCGGCGGCCGCCGCTGCCGCCGCCGCCGCGCTCGGGTAGCGCGTGTAAGGCGGATACGCGGCCGCCG